AGAGTGCATCCATGAGCACCAACCAGCAGTCAGAAGACACGATGAAAACTCCTTAATCTCACAACACATGGACAGACTTAACCATAGTTTCAACTGGGAAACTATCAGCATTTTATATCAGGCTAAATCCAAAAATGTAAGGGAATTCTTGGAAGCTTGGCACTCAGACAAGGCAGCCATCAACAGGCACATAGAGATAAACAGCATCTACATACTATTCAGAAGAGACAAAAGACCAGAACATCTCCTCACCAGCAATCATCACCCAGATAAGCAAAGGTTACCAGCAGGCACACGAAACAGTGAACAATACCTTAATCAAGGAACTGCCAGAGGCGCAAAACAAACCCCACCCCCCAGCACTGGCAAAGCAGGCCACAGCACATAAATAGGGAGCAAACCCCATCCCATTTTAGCACTGAAGATGGTACCTGGCCAGGTAATGATGTTTGCAAGAAAAGAACCAAGCTCAGAGAACCCCACGGACTCCGCAGTTCAACCCTGAGCTACACATATTCGCCTCTATTGGTTTAAGATGAGTGGACTTCATGACTGGCTGGGGAATTCTGGGAATTGAAGTCCACTCAACTTAAAGTTGCCAAGGTTGAGAAACACTGGTCCAGAAAGATTAAAGCGCCACCAGGAAATCCAAGGGACCTTCACCCCCTTGAGCAGAAGCAGTCTTTTTGTTGGCCTGGGGGTGAAAGTGAGAGGCCTCCCCAAAACCCTCAGGACCCCACAGGCAAAAAGGCAGAAAAGATCCTTTTCAAGATGCAACTTGTGGAACTCCTGGCCACAGGATACAGCATTCAGCCTGGAACGGCCTGCCTCCAACTGACTGCTCCTCGGGAAACAGAGAAACTGCTGGGGAGACCCTTTGGCCTGCCCGGGGAACAGGGCGGTGTTGGTTCCTCCTGAGCTGGAGGGATGAGGGACCAAAGCAGGTGGTCGCAGGGCAGGATAGCTGCTTCAGGAAGCGGCTGACCAGCCGCAGCCAGGATTTGGAGAGCAGCAGGCACCAACAGTAGAGCTGCCCAAGGAGGACCAAAAGGCTTCCCGTGGAGCCCGCATTTGCAGAAGGCCTCCGTGCTGAGACTTTCTGGCTTAGCAACATGGAACAGTCAGGCTGATGGCAAATGCCGCTGAATCAGAAAGGCCAAGGTTAGTTCAGTACGCAAACTCTCCGAGGGAGAGCAGAAAGAACGGGAGGCCGTGCTGATCCATCCGTGCCTTTTCTATGCTCTGCTATATGCACCTTTATATCTTTACATTTCAAATGATGTAAGAAGAGCAAGCTCCTCTGTCCCTCTCTTTAACGATCTTTCAATTCGCAGGACAGGACGTGAAGCATTTTCATGGAGGATTTATTATCTTTACATCAGCAAATCTTAGGACATCGACCTTCAACATGGTCAAAATTTATATTCTCTGTAAGGGCGAAACCTACATTGCCCCCCAGTCCCCAGTTCTGTTGACAGCTGCTTGGACTTTTTAAAATGTTAGAAGGTTGGGACATGTAGACATTTTTATATATTAAGACATTTAGATGTTTAAACATTTATCTTTATATATTGTATAATATGAAGTAAAAGCAGGCCTAGCAAAATGCTAATATTCCCTTTCCTGTATGTATGGTTGACTTTACTTCAGATTATCAAAAT